AAAAAGAAATTGAAACAATGTTTCCAAGTTTAGCTGGAAAAAATCCAACACAATTAACACATGAAGATTTACAAGCTTTATTAGTACATGCACATCGTCGTATAGTTAAACTTCAAAATGATATTGCACGTATGCGTGTTAATGAATCGGATTCAGTAAAAGCAGCTATTGATGTTCAACGTGCTGATATTGATCGTCTTGTTGAACAACGTGTTCAAGAACGTGTAGCAAAAACCGCTGAACAACTAACTGATGAATTAAAATCATATGAAAAAAATCTTCGTCAACAATTTGATGAACAATTAAAACATGAAATTGTTTTACAACATCAAGCATTAACACAATATTTAGCTGATGTTTTATCACGACAATATCAAGAATGGGCACGTGAATATGAAAAACAATTAGATAATGAATCAACGAAAATAAATTTAAATCTACAAAATCAATTACGAACAACATTAGATCGTTTACATGCTATTGAACAAGCTATTGAAGCTAATTATGATAGTCAAGAACGTGGACGTAAAGCTCAACATTTATGGATTCAAGCACAAAATATCCTTAATAAAGTTGTTCATGGTACAACAACAGAAAATGATCTTGATGTTATATCAAAAATTGTTCCAAATGAAAAATTTGTTCAAGTACTTTTTAATCAATTAAAAACTGATGAATCACCAATAACAAATGAAGAAATGTTACGTGAACGTTTTTCACATGTTAAAAAATTATGTCGTCGTGTTGCATTAATTAATGATGGACATAATTCATTATGGAATTATTTTCTATCATATTTTCAAAGTTTATTAATTGTACGACAACGTGATGATTCAATATTAGTTGATGATGCTATTGATCTTAATCAATTAGATACATTTACAATTTTAAATTATGTTCAATCCTATTTAGAACATAATCAATGGTATAATGCATTACGTTTAATGCAATTATTAACAGGTGAACCAAAGAATGTTGCACAATCATGGATTAATGATACACGAAATTATTTAGCTAAGAAACAAACATCAGAATTACTTGAAGCATATTCAAATTCAATTGGACTTGGAACATTACCAAGAACAGCTTAGTTTAAATTGATTACCCGTTCTCTTCTTCATTTAATTGTCTTTTTTTGCATCTTAGTAAACGTATAATTTATGCATATATTTAGAAAAGAAGAAAGACAAAAATATAAGTTTTTTAAAACTAGATTTTATTTCTTTTTTTCTCTTTATTTTAGATTAGAAATATTCAAGATGAATCGGGCGGTTGTAAAATTCTTTACATCATCATCTCGTATGATACCAAGAATTTATGCATCAACAAAGATATCTGGAACAACACCGGCAGCAGCAGCAACAGCACATCATGGCTCAGCCGAAGTTCATGATCATGGTCATGGCCATGGTCATGGTCACGATCATCACCATCATGAACCAGATTTAAGAAAAACACACGAATGGCGTCATCAATCAGGCATTCAATCGAAATATGAAAATCAAGGAGAAGATCCAACCATAACTTTCATGCAAGGTAAAATTATTAATAGAGAATTTTGCTATTAATCAGCAAAAGAATATAGAGTTATACCTTTGAAGTAGAATTTAGTATTCATTATATATAGATAAATCTTAAAACATTATAGTGAGAAATTTAATAAATAAATTTTTTATTATTTTTCTAGAACGACCAAACTATCATGATTATCGTCCATCCCTTGGACAAGTTGCTCTGTCTATACCCTATCGAACACAAGCACATCTTTATGAAATGTGGTTTTATCATGTAGCTTTAGTGCTTTCCATTTGGTTTTGGTGGTATGTTTCATGGCGTTTTCTTAAAGAACCAAGTTGGTTTTTTGGTCATGCTCATTTTCCTGATATGTCAAAATTTACTGATGAAGAATTGGGTATTCCATCAGATGATCTTGATTAATAAAAAACATACTATATTGTAGTTGTTATTATTTTCTTCTTTTCGTATGATGTCTTTCTTTCTATTTGTATTTTTTTCCCTATTTCCTTCTTTGGTTTTTACGACAAATGGCACGTGAGTTTGTTTTTCTCCTTCTCTATGTCCAATTTAACTTCTTTAGCATTGCTGAATTTCTACCATCAAAAAGAGAAAAAAAAAGAACTAAACAAATTTTATTATTTGTACTTTTTAAATGTAAATTTTCAGTTTAATCGCTTGAGATAGATGATAAAGGTTCGAGTCCCAATTACTGTACTTTGAAAACAGGAATGAACATTATTTTAGTTCTTGTGCGTGCTTTTCCCAGTGATGAGAATTTTAAGTTATCATGAAAAATTCTTGAATGTTAACGATTAGTCTTCCTGAGGGATACTGCCGCACATAATTTATTATGAGAATACATTAAGTTGTCTTTTGAAATTCAATTTGTTGTTCTTTTAAGATTTCGATTAAAATCTTCATGGCACAACAAGTAGGCCGATCGGCGGCAGCAGCAGCATCTCGTTTTGCTGGAAGTAAAGTCGATTGGAATCGTCTTTTAAAATTAAGTGGTTCTAATACAACAACTGTTTCGAATCTTCAAGCTAAATGGAGTCAAGCTGCTGTTAAGTAAGTAAAGATTTTTCTGAAATAAATCTTGTATATTCTATTGTGTTATTTAGAATGAATGCTTTAAATGATGCATTACCTAAAATTGATTTTGCTTATTATCGAAAGATGGTACAAGATCCAACACTTGTTGATAAACTTCAAAAAGAAGTAAGCATCAATTTAAATTTTATATCTATATATATATTAATTTATATTTAGTATGAAAATGCCCAAATTGCTTATCCAAAAGATTCGGCTAATCGTTTTAAAGAACTTGAAGAATATGCTAAAACCGAGGTATAAAAGAAATGTTTATTGTCATATCTTATTATAATTAATATAATAATATGTATAGGAAAAACGTTCTCAAGAATTCGTTAAATTGGCTGAAGGTGAAGTAGAAAAATTACGTAAAGAATTTGATCGATGGGATAATGTACCTCCAGCCGATGAAGTTACTTACGAATTAGGTATGTTTATATGAAAATTTTTTCGGTAGTAAATTAGTTTTTATTTGTTTTTCTTTTTTGTAATTTAGCTTCCTTCTATATGCCTGAAGCTGTCTTTCCTCGTGTTTGGGATAAAGATGAACATGATAAATTGAAAGATATACAATTTTTACCATACGAAAAACGAGATTCATTACGTTGGTGGGTTGAACAAGGTGGTGAATTATTACCACATAAACATGAATGGGTTATGCCAGATGAAGCACTCGACCCAATTGGCTCTCCCCCACGACCCAACACATCAGTCACGGAAGGTGGACATGGACATGGTGATACTAAGAAAATAGCAGCTGGTGGCAAACATTAGTGTAACCCCGTTGAACTGTCTTACTTATCTTTTTTTTCTCTATTAGTTTGAGCCCGAATAAAATGTCTATATGAGAGTAGCAGTAAAGTTTAGTAAGATCGAATGTTTAAAAAAATATGTATTCGATTTTGTATAAGACAGTTAAGAGAGTATATTTAGTTTTCTTTTTGATTTAAATAAACTAAACTTATTTGCAATACTCATATTTAGTCAGTCAATTTTACAAAAAAAAAGATTATTTTTCGATATTGTACAAAGAAAAAAACATTTAATTCACTTTTCATGTTTCGAACTGATTTCTAAAAGACATTTATCATGGTTTAAATGATTATATCTGATTAATTATTCGTTTTGAATTGGTAGCTTACATCTGTGACACAAACAATCATTTAAATATACTTACAATGATGAAATAACAAAAGAATACTATTTCAACTGTTTGTACAATATAATTTGTTATATTTTGACTAAACATCTGTTTCACTTGTGTTAACAGATGATATTACACAATACCTATGTTATAAAAAAATTCGGAGAGTTTACATTTCAAACTAACAAACTGTTTAAAAAAGTATAATTTTTCTCATGCTTCAATAATACAAGCAAAAAATAACTTTTTACCTAGATAGTTGTTAATTACAACAATTATAAATAAAAATTCATTCTCTCTATTAAAATTCTATACTTAGTTTACTATATATATGGCACGTTCGCCTGTTTTACAGTAATATACCCCATTCTATTCATTTTCTAATTGATAAATAAGTCATTAACATTAAAATCTCTTCATCCTGTAAATTTAGTATAAAATAGAAAGTACTATATTTGATGTTCAGTCTAATAACATCTAATGATGAATGCTTCTCTAGTACACAAATATATCCATATACTTTATTTACATACATTTTATGTATAGAATTCATAATGAATAATAATATAAGATTTTAATGATTTTTTTTCAAATATTATATATCTTAAATAATTAGAATTGAAGTGATTTTTAAGAGATTTTTTTTCTTTGCTTATTTTAAAATATTCATAAAGGTTTTTTGAAGTATAAGAGCAATTTATATGAACGATAAAAAAAAAGAGCATTTCTTTTGAATGTCAAAATAATAATATTTGACTTTTTCTTTGATTGATAGATGCGCTTCAACAAAGATAAACATCCAACAAATACAATAAATCAAAATCAGTCAATCAACGAAATTTACAGTTAACAGTAACCAGAAACAGATTTTTGCGCTCTTCATCATAATAATATCAAAGAATAAAAACTATTGTGATCTTAATGTAAATATGACAGATACAGATACCTTATTGAATGTAAATGAAAAGTAAAATTTTCTTTTCTTATTGATGTTCTCAAATCCGTGACTGATCATATCATCATTAAACATTGATAATAATAATAAACAAGATTATACTTACTCTATATGCATATTTATTTAAAGATAATGCTTGAGGCAACTATTCATCGAACATATGAAACTAAAATTCACACATAGTTTTTTTTTGTTTCTATTCTTGAATTTCTTATTGGTTCAAACATATGTATACATATAAACAATCTTACTATATTAAATTATCTATTGTATTCTTTTTTTACACTTTATAATAGTATAATTTAAATGAGAATGTATTCACTTGTTTTTTTTTCTCTAATAATATTATTTTATGTTGAATTGATTCTCGGAATAAATTAAGTTTACTAAAAGTAACTATGGAATATATGTAAAATTAACACATTTGTTAAAAATTGATCTGTTTGTCTTCGATTACAATGACATTCATTGCTCTAGGGCAGTATCAATCACATTCAGGAATGATTTTTATACGGCATGTCGATTCTGTTGTTCATCAATAATAAATCTTTGCTCTTCTTATGTTACCAATTGTATGTCTCGTCGCCTGCACTATACACATATATATATATATATACATACATATATAGTTTATTCTGTTTCTAAATACACAGATCAATATATACAAAGAGATGAATAAGTAAGATGTCCTGCGAGACAATGTAGCGTGACAAACTTTAATCCATTTTTAATATCTTTCAACTTGACCGCTTATGTATCCCAAGATAACAAAAAAAATGCCTTAACCGGAAACCATCGTCATACGTATCATTACCATTAAATACTTCTAGTCTATACACCTTGTGTATGCGTAGCAACCAGATGGCCTCATTTAAAGCAATTAACACTCATGCGCAATGTGTCATCATGTTAAATCTATTAAAAAGCAGGAAAAGGAAAGGGATGCAATGACATTATACATTTCGTTCTTCAAAAGAAAAATATATATTCACGAAGATAATGATCTCTCTCATTTAGATATATATATAGATATATATATCAAATCAGGTAAATCGACACTGTAGTCAGCAGTTGTTGTTTTCTTTAGTTTTTTTTTCTCTTTTATGACAAATAAATTTTGTAACGGTATGTACATTTGTGTGTAAAAAAAATCAGTAGAATACTAGAAACAGATGTTGACAATGGTAATGGAAAAAAATCGAGAAAAAAAAAGAATCTATAGTGCCATTTGAACTTGTTCGTTTGGTGAGAGTCGAGAGTCCTTCATGACTGAAACTTGAAAAAAAAAGAGAGGTAAATGTGTATATTGTGTATGTGTGTGTATGCTTATGTCAATCAGTGAGTTGTCCATCAAACATTCAGATTGAATGAAGGAGAAGAGG